CTAATCCTACAATTTCCCCAGTAACAATTAAAGATCAATCATATGAGTTGTCTAATTAACAGGTACCCTACAGGAGTTCTGTTTTGCACAACTTATGAAAAAGTTGAATGAATGGAAAAGAGATGTACATTTCTTTCTTTCAAAAAAAAATTTTTTTTGAGACTCTGCTTTTACAGAGTTCCTGAGTAAACAGCAGAAGAATGAGCTACAGCCACAACCATATCTCAAGGACAGAGTCACATCTCCTATGGTAATTTCTCCTCCAAGGAAGGGCATGAAATCAGCTTTTGTTATCAACTCACAGTCATCACAATTTTTTTCTCTCTTCATCCCCCTTAAAATCAGCAAACCACTTGGCCTCACTGCTGGCATCTCCTTCTTTTTCTTTGGGATGCCACGCCATCTCCCTGCTCTCTTCCCTTTCTTCCCTTCTCTTTCTCCTTCTTTCTCTTTTGCTCACTTGCTCTCGCGCGCTCTCTCTCATTCTCTCTATCCTTCTGAGAAGATAAAATAAACTTTTTTACTTTCATATCTTAATCTCTGAGAAATCTTTCTCCACCTGTGCACTGAGCACCTACTAAGCTTTCCACTCTAACATATCTTTCTTAAGAAATAATATTGAGTGATAAAAAGAAGTCATAGACAAATTCAGAATTACTCCATTTATATAAAGTTTAAGAGCCTGTGAAACTAAATAATATGCTGTTTAGAATATAAACATATGTACTAAAACTATAAAGAAAAGCAAGGAGTGATGAGGACAAAATTCAAGAAATTGGTTCCTCTGCAGGTGAAGGAAAGGGGTGGGCTCAGTCAGGCCAGGATCAAGTGCTGGGGAGGGTTTGAGGAAGTCAGTCCCGTATAATGCAGGCCACAGTGTGGACAGCAGGTCACTGTGTGCCTGTGGAGGCAAAGGCAGGGGAGAAAAGAAGAAGAACTGAGGATGCTGTACCAGAATAACTTTCCTACTTTATTTTTGTCTTGGGCTGAAGTTGCCAAAATCATAACATGGAAATTAGAACCATCTGTTGACAGGATAAGTGAGTGAACTGGACAGAATTTACCAACAGAAATTCAGAATTATTTTAGAATCTATGTCAAATCATGGAAAAGTATAAATAAAAGCCTACTTTATTTGAGAGGGGGAAATGATGTCATTTTATCATTGTTTATAACAGGAAAAATATGAAAATAACCTAAGTGACCATTAATATAATACTGGTTAAAAAAATAGAATACATTAATACTATGGTATACTATGATAATAGTCACAAAAAATTAAATAGACCAGGGAAAGAAAAAAAAAACAAGTACTATTTAGTACAGGTTAAAAAGTCATTTCAAAACAATAGAAAAAAATGGACTAGTCAATAAATGTTGTTGAAACAACTGGCTGCCCACTGTCCTTATCTAAAACCATTCACAAATACTTTAAATCCAGATGGATTAAGGAACTAAAACAAATAAAACAAATATTGGTGAATAAGTACTATGAATTTGGTATAGGGGATAAAAATCACAGCCTGAAAGATATTTGCAACATAAATAAGAGAAAGAATTAATAACATATATATATATAATGCTGCAAAATCTACTGAAATGAACAACCCAAAAGAAAAAATACATTAATTATAAAAATAGGCAACCCACACAAGAGGAAATAGAATATATGCAAATTATACGTACTATGTAATACAACTTTTCCCCAAGTGATAAAAATACAAGATTTGAAAAACATCAAGCATTGGTTAGGGTGTGAGTAAATATATGTTCTCATATACTGCAAGCCAGAGTGTAAACTGGTATTGATATTTTGAGGGGCTATTTTGCAGTATTAATGAAAATGAAAATGGACATACATTATTAGGGATTCCATTTGTAGGAATACACCCTAAAGAAACACATGTGCACAAGGCTTTTCACTGAAGCATTATTTATAATAATGAAAAATATAAAACATCAAAATGTTTATCAGTGAGGGAATAAAATATAATATCCAGGTGTTGCAGAATTTTTAAAAAGTAATATGGTAAATCTCTACATACTGACATACATTGAAGGACAGCCAAGTGATATTCTTAAATTTGAAAAAGGTTTCAGAAAAATACAGAATAATGTTCTAAAACAAAGTCAATTCTGTATCGTTCTAGAGGTACATGTATGTATATAAATGCACAGAGAAATGTCTGGGTAGTAACCATCAAACTGTTAACAGTAACTCTGGGGAAGGGACTGCATTGGGGTTAAAGGACACTCAAGGGAGGTTTTAGCTTTATCTATATTGCTTGAATTTTTAAAAATAAGAGTATATTCACTCATTACTCATATAATTTTAAAATAACATTTATAAGTTAATTATGACACAAAATTATAAATTTTGGGGTTTTGGCAAAGTCCTGTGGGAACACAGTGAAAGGAGAAACTAGTGTAGTATGCAGAAAGATCTTATAGCAGTAGTGACATTTCATTGGGCCTGATGTTTAAATAGGATTTTGTCAAGCATTTATAATTTGATGGAAGATTGTGGTAGATTATATTTTCCAAAGATGACTGTACCAACATACATCCCATCCAATATGCTTTTCTTTCAACATGACATCGACACATCATGGAGAGGTCGGGGGGCGGTGTCTATGTCCCTGCCCCATTAAACTTGGGCAGGACTTTATGATTGCCTTGATGAACAGAATGAGGTAGAAGTATCACAGTGTGACTTCTGAGATTATCCAGCTTCTGCCTGGTTCATTCTTTCACAAAATGCTCACCGTTGGTATCCAGCCATCATGCCGTGAGGAAGCCCAAACTAGTCCACAAGGAAAGACCACATGAAGAGGCTCATGTGGAGAGGAATTGAAGCCCCCAGCCGATAGCCAGCATCAACACCAGACACGTGAGCAAGCAGGCCTTCAGATGATTCCTGCCCTAGCCTTTGTGTTCCCCAGCTGAGGCCCAGATATGCATCATGGAACAGAGACAAGTCATCCCCACTGTGCCCTGTCCTCATTCTTGAGCTAGAGAATCCAAGAGCAGAATAAATGATTATGCCACAAAGTTTTAGGGCAATATGTTACACAGCCAAAGTAACTGGAACAAAAACACCCTAAAGAGAAGAAATTACACAAGTAAATAGAATGTCACAGAGCACCATGAGTACTGGCAGTTTTGGAGTGATGATGCCCAGAATCTGGCTGGGATCAGACTATGAAAAGTCTTATATGGTACTATTTTAAAAATTAAGACTTATCCTGTTGCCAGTGAAAAATTGTTGAAAGTTTTTAAGCTGGGAAGTAAAATGCTAAGATGTACATTTTAGCAAGATATCTCTTAGACTACTGTCAAAGAAATATTACAGAAATGAAAGACTTAGAAAAAGCCCCCCTGATTAAGATAAGTCCTGGCCAAATAAAATGGTGGGATCACCCCTCAGTCTACATGTTTTGTGACTTTTTTCCTCTTTACCATTGCCTTTGATGTCTATTTATACTCAATTTCTCCTGTGTTAAAATGTTTTGAAAAAAAACTTTTGTCCACACAAAAACCTGCCACAGATGTTTATAGCAGCTTTATTCGTAATTGCCAAAATTTGGAAGCAAGCAAGATGTACTTCAGTAGGTGAATAGATAAATAAACTGTGGTATGATCCTATTCAGCACTAAAAAGAAAAGAGCTACCAAGCCATGAAAAGACATGGAAGAACCTTAAATGCAAATTACTAAGTGAAAAAAGCCAATCTAAAAATCACACATACTGTACAATTCCAACAATGTGACATTTCGGAAAAGGCCAAACTATGGAGATGGTAAAAAAGGACCAGTGGTTGCCAGGGGTTGGGGGGAAGGAGAAATGAACAGATAGAGCACAGAGGATTTGGGGGGCAATAAACTACTTTGTATAACACAGTAATAGTGGATACATGTCATTATACATTGTCAAAACCCACAAAATGTACAAGAGCAAGAGTGAACCCTACTGTAAACTATGGACTTGGGGGGATTACCATGTGTCAATACAGGTTCATTGATTACATAATAATAAATGTGCCATTCTGGTGTGGAATAGTGATGGTAGGAGAGGCTATGCACATGTGGGCGCAGAGAGGATATGGGAACTCCACTTTCTGCTCTATTTTGCTGTGAACCTAAAAAAGAAAACTACAGACCAATATCCCTAATGAATATAGATGCCTTTACAGTTTGGATATTGTGAATCTATGTAAGGGGAAAATTTGAGGTTCATGGTTCAAGAAGGAGAAGATAGAACTCAAAACATAAAGTGCCACCTCTCTGATAAGGGAAAGGATGCCTGGATGAATAGAAAAGCAAAGATTTAGGAAGGGATGAAAAATACTACTAAGAACATTTCATCCTCTTCTTGGCAGAAGATCTTCCATCCTACTTTCTGAGAAAATCAAGAGGAAGAATGCACTGAAAATTGAGAGTTCATGGAGAATAAAGACAGGATAGAGTGAATCAATCAGATTCTAAAGGATCCAGAGTAGCAGCAGAGCACAGCTGAAATTCAACAGTGTAATTTATTGGAGGCCTTTCTCTAATGTTAATTATTCAAGACCTGATTAACCAATTTGTAGGATACTATGCATTCTGCCTTTTCACATTTTCAATTAATGCCTGCTTATGAAAGATGTCATAATTTAAATTCTTTATCAAAAAGAAGTTAATAAAGTAAGAAAAGGAACTAAAATTAATTTTCTGCTTTTTTTAAATCAGTTGAGTAATATTTAAGGCTTAAGCTAATTTTTGAAACAATGAAAAAGAAAGTAAAATAGAGAAAAATACACTGAAACAAATGCTAAAATAAGATTATAGGACCACATTGTGGGTTAAATTTATCCATGCTAGTCCTAAGCCTCATCATGAAAGCTACATAAAAGCCAACTGCTGCTATATTGCACAAAATAAAATTTGATAAAAATCAAATCCTTCCCTGTGTTTCTTATTCACATTTCTTTGAATAAACTTCCTATTCCTTAATCAACTTACCTGCATCCGAGAAGATACAAACTTCTGTTTCCCCTTCTGACAATGATGTAGTTGTAGGGATAAAGGAAGGAGGTATTGTTGGTAAAAGTGGCTTTGGATCATCATCATAAAATAGTATCAGGTCCTGAAAAAAACAAAAGAATGGGAGAATTGGGAAAAAAAATTAATCTCACTGTATAGACTTTATAGAGCTATAAAGTGCCTACATGTGCAAACATCATCATAAACACATTTTAAGTAACTCACACTTAAGTTATCTACATATTTGGGTATCTACTGAATATAGGGTGGTTTTCCACTCTTGGGAATCCCCATTCCCTGCTGGAGACACCTTGTGTAGATAGCAATGATTTTGTTTAGGGTATTACCTTTCCATACCACTCCTTGAACATCCTCAGAACATACTATCTCAGAGGTCAATTATTTTGTTTCATTGGTAATAATTAAGCTACCTACATCTTTTATTCATATTTTAAATTTTTAACTTTTTATCATGAAGTAAAATGTAGACAGATCAATCCAATCATGCAGGTTAAATAATAACCAACGCATAGCTAATCTTGTTTCATTTATATCCCTACCATTTATATCCCATCTATTTTACTTTGAAGTAAATCCTAGAATAATTACTTATTTCAATAGGTACCTCTGTCTTAGTCCATTTAGGCTGCTGTAACAAAATATTAACACCATCAACTTGGTGGCTTAGAAATAACAGAAATTTCTTTCTTACAGTTTTGGAGGTTGGCAAGTCCAAAATCAAGGTGCTGGCAGATTTTATGTCTGATAAGGACCTGCTTCCTAAACAGTCATCTTTTCACTATAACCTCTTATGGCAGAAAGTGGCCAAGTAGCTCTCTTGGGCCTCTTTTATAAGGGCACTAATCACCTCCCAAAATTCCCACCTCCTAATACCATCAGCTTAGGGGTTAGATTTCAACACATGAAATTTAGGGCAGAAAAAAATATTCAGACCATAGCAATCTCTAAATGATAAGAACTCTTTAACATAATAATTGTATCAAACTGATAAACTTCACAAGTCTTAATATCATCAATTATCATTGATTTCCAATTTCTCATAAATGTCATAATTAGGATTTTCTACTGCTTATTTGAAAGAAGATCCAAATAAAATCTCTAGAGTAGGATTGGTTGGTATGTCTTTTTTTCTGTAAACTGGGGGTAATTTTTTTCCAGTACTTTATTGATGTATAATTAACATACAGTAAAATGCACAAACTTTAAATGTAGATCTCAATAACTTTTATCATGTGTATATCTATCCACATTTCCTTCACTCCAGAAAGTTCCCTCAAGCTCCTTTCTAGTTGATACCATACCCCGCCCCCACTGTAAACACTATTCTATCTCTGTCACCATGAGTGAATTTTGCCTGTTCTTGGACTTCACATGAATGTAATCACATACTGTTATGTGATTACATATTGCAACAAAATGTTTGTGCGATCCATCCATGTTTTGTTGTATTAACATATCGGTCATCCCTCTCTCTCTCTCCCTTCCTACATGTAAGAAATATTCCATCGTGTGAATATATCACAATTTGCTTATCCATTCTCCTGCATATGGATACTTGGCTTATTTCCAAATTTCAGCTATTACAAATGAAGCTGCTATGAACATTCTTTTTTTTTTTTTCTTTTTTTTTCTGTGGCTGGGTTACAGTTTATATGAACATTCTTGTACAAATATTTTTGTGGAGAAATGTACTCATTATATTTAGCTGTACCATTTTGCATTCCTACAAGTAATATATGAGTTGTTCCAATTTCTCCATGTTCTTACCAGCATTTGGTGTTATCACTATTTTTTATTTTAGCCATTTTGATATTTCATTGCATATTTAAATTACATTTTCCTAAAGGCTAATGATGTTGAACATCTTTTCATATGCTTACTTACCATCTGCATTTGCTGAAATGCCTGTTCCTATCATTTGCCCATCTTCTAACTGGATTGCTTGGTTTTTAAACTGGTGAGTTTTGACAGTTCTTTATATGTTACAGATATTAGTCCTCTGCCAGATGTGCAGTTTGTAAATATTTTCTTCCAGTCTGTTTCTTGCCTTTTCATCCTCTTATCAGGGTCTTTTGCCAAATAATATTTTTAAATTTTGATGAGGTCTGATTTATCAATGTTTTCATCTTAAAGATCATGCTTTCGGCCAGCTCTAGATCTCAAAGATTTTTGTCTTACATTTTCTAAAAGTGTTATAGTTTTATATTTTACATTTAAGTCTGTGATTCATTTGTAGTGAATTTCTGTATAAAGTTTAGGTTGGGATTCATGGTTTTGTCTGAATGTCCAGTTGCTCCAGCATAATTTGATGAAAAGATTATCCTTGCTCCATTAAATTTATTTTGCACCTTTGTCAAAAATCAGCTGGCCATATTTGCATGGGTCTATTTCTGGGTTCTCAATCCTATTTCACTGATTCAAGTGTCTATCTCTCCACCAATACCATACTCTCTTGATTACTGTAGCTATACATAGGGCCTAGTATCAGGCAGAGTGATTACTACCATTTTATTCTTCCTTTTCAAGATTGTTTTAACTATTTAGGGCCAGTGCCTTTCCATATCAATTTTAGAATAAGCTTATTATCTATATCTACAAAAAACCTTGCTGGGATTTTGATAGGAATTACATTAAACCTATAGAAGCATCTTTATTATGTTGAATTTTCTAATCCACATACATTGGGCCTTCTTTATTTGGATCTTCTTTAATTTCTCTCATGAGTATTTTATAATTTTTAACATATAGATCCTATACATGTTTTATTACATTTATACCTAAGTATTTCAATTTGAAGGAGTGTTTATAAATGGCATTATATCTTAATTTCAGTTTCCACATGTTCACTATTAGCATGTAGAAATTCAACTCATTTTCATATGTTAATTTTGTATCCCACAAGCTTACCAGTTTTATGAGGGTTTGCTTACTGGTTCTATGAGGTTTTTTTTAGTTTTGTTTCCTTGAGATTTTTTATTTAGATAATCATGTCATCTCTAAACAGGGGGAGTTTTATTTCTTCCTTTACATTTTACTTGCCTTTTCCTTCTTATTCTTGCCTTATTGCAATGCTTAGAACTTCCAGCACTATGTTGAAAAAGAGTGGTGAGAGCAGATATCCTTGCTTTGTTCTTGATCTTAGAGGGAAAGTATTCATCAAACACGTTGGTTGCAGGTTTTCTATAGATGATCATTATGAATTTAAGGAAATCCTCTTCTATTTCTAGTTTGCTAAGAGTTTTTTTTAATCATATGTGAGTGTTGAATTTTGTCAAATGCTTTTCTGCATTAATTGAGATCATCCTATGACTTTTTTTCTTTAGCTTGTTGATATGATATACTACACTGATTGATTTTCAAATGTTCAACATGCCTGGATTAAATCCTCCTTGGTTATGGTGTATAATTATTTTTATATGTTGCTGGATTCAATTGGCTAATATTTTGTTGAGGATTCTTACACACCTTATTTCATGAGGGATATTGGTCTATAGTTTTCTTTTTTTGTACTGTCCTTGTCTGAAGTTAGTATCAGGATAACATTTGCCTCATAAAATGAATTGGGAAGTGTTCTCTCCTCTTCTATTTTCTGGAAGACATGGTGTAGAACTGCTGTTAATTCTTTAAATGTGTGATAGAATTTTCCAGTAAATACACCTAAGCCTGGAGGTTTCTGTTTCAGAAAACTTATATTACAATTTCAATTTTTAAAATGATTATAGGATGACTAGTAAGGTCCCAGTTAATCTTGATTGTACAGTGGTAGTTTATGTTTTCTGAGATATTGTTCTATTTCTACTAAATTGTAAGCATAAAGTTGTTGGAAGTATTATCCAACAATTATCCTTCATTATCCTTTCATCTTTCATGGTAGAAGGAACTGCAGTGATATCCTTTGTTTCATCATCTTGACACTGGTGATTTGTGTATTCTCTCTTTATTTTTGTCAGTCTTCCTACAGGTTTATCAACCTTTATTATTTTTTAAGTCATTTATTGTTAGCTTGTTTTTATTAATTTATTATTTTAAAATTTTTTTCAAAGAACTGGCTTTTTATTTCATTTTATGTTGTTTTCCTGTTTTCCATTTCATTAATTTTTACTCTTTATTATTATTTCCTTTTTTCTATTTTTTGTGGTTTATTTCACTTTTCTTGCTTTCTTGAAGAAGGAATTTAGATTAATTTTAGACCTTTCCTTTTTTCTAATGTAAGCACTATAAATTTTCTTCTAATACTTTAGCTGTATTTCACATATTGTTAAATACAGTGTTTTCTTTTCATTCATTTCTGTGTATTTTGCATTTCTGTGTATTTCCTTTGAGACTTTCTTTTTGACCTATGAATATTTAGAAGTGTGTTAAATTCCAAAAATAATTTTTAAGGTAAAATTTATCATGAGTTTACACTGATATACTTCCAATTCAATTCAAGTCTATCAGGTTATGACAATCTCTTCTCTCTCACATTCATTATCTCCTTTCTCCCATGCTGAGAATCCCAGTTTTCAAGCCATCAAAGATGACACAAATAGAGTATCACACGATTATCCATTTGAATGATCACACATTATACTCATAATAATCTCACAAGCAAAATACCAACACCACAGAATGAAAACACTAACTAAATGCAAAGTACACTCATTTAATTTTACTTTACATTTTTAGGGATTACTTTTTATTTTATAATTATGCAAAATATTTCCAGGGTTCCCATGACAAATCTAAAAATAAGGTATATTCAAAAAAGTCCTGTTTCTATTCCTACTCTCCACCTTATTCCCTCTACCTCATTGTTGCCGAAAATTTGGCACTTGTCCCTAAGGCTGCATCAGAAGGATGAGGACAAGTGGTTTAGGAGAAGGAAAGAGTTGTTTATTAATTTGCTGGCAAATAAGGAGGTTGGCACATTCCTGTCTCAAAGTACCAACGTCTTGTCTCTGAGCAGAAGTAGAGAGCTTTTAAAGGTTCTCATTAATTCCATAATCCCGTCTTTAGCTAAAACCATCTCATTATTTCTGCCTGGGCAATTCCCTTGAGCCATCTCCTGTGGCACAAAGAATAAAAAGATACTCTCCTGCC